AAAAAAAAAAAAAGGATTTAGGTTGAAAGGGAAAAAATTACTCCAGTAAGGTAGTCACACATTGCAAAATCTTGTGTAGCATGATTAGGATTTTTTAGATGATTCTACAATAAGCACTTCCTAATCTATACAGTTTACATAAAACAAAACTAATCCATATACTCATTATCACAAGAAATCCTATCCATATATTTTCAACCCTGGAAATGTTACAAACATGAAAACGAGTCGGTAATGAAATTACATAGGCTTAAAATAATCCAATTTTCTGATCATATTTCTAGTGTCCGTACAATCGGTTATGACAAATATAATAATTTAAACAAACAGAATCTTACGAATAAATTGTATAGTTACAGTCAGTCTTCAAAAGAAAATTAACACTTAAAACCCAATTTTATGGCAATGAAAAATTTAACTTGATATTACCCCAAACAAGATTGAGGAGTTAAAACCCAAAAGCCAAAACCAAGTAGTCAAGTAAAACGAACAAAGAAACCAAAGCAGTATATTAATAATCTTTCCATACCATATCTTTCTTGAAATTCAGGAGTACTCTGTAAAAACTCCAGCCCTGGATGAGTTGCCAATAGTTCTCGAAGCACAGATTTGAAGTCATCCTACATCAAATCAAGAATATTGCTTAAATATGAACCAAGATATTGGCGAGTATGGCAAAGATTCATATCAAGATCCTTGTTGACGATCATGTAACCTGAGCCAAGTGCCTGACATTTTGCGGCTTCAATATTGTGTATATTTGTGCTGATATATCTTTTGTCAACATATTTCCATTAATCCAATAGTTGACAAATGCATCTCTGTTGACATGACAGATTAAGGGTCAAAGTAAAGAGAAGGAACAAATATTATTGTGCACAAAATAAACAAAAGAACGTGGTGTACTGGCGTTCCCCCTAGGAGATAATCTCCCTAGTCCCTCCCAAGGTAAACGCGGAGAAACAATAATGCTCCAGTATCTTTTGCAAAAAGACTAAGACAAACTTATATAGAATACTAACCCCAGCTTATAACCCTAATGGGGAAACATAACAATACGAACCTAAAGTCCAGCAGCTTAACCTAGATAATTAGGTATAACAATAAAATTAAGACGAGTCAATAGATCTAGATTGGTCTGTAAAAATTCTCTACCCTTCAAACCAGCCATGTCCTCAAGGCTAAAGTGACTTCAAAAGCCGTCTGATATCTTACCCACCAATAGGCATAGTGCTGTTTCCCCATCTCAATACGAACAAATATGAATGGTAGGGATGACAAGGATAGTTACAGTAACAGATCGAGAGGAACCTCCCGGAAGTAATACAAAATACATAGGAAATCTATGGCACACGAAACAGCAGAATATAGGAAGTCAATTTTCCGGCACTGGCATGTTTCATGTTTTTGTAGTGAAAAGATTCACAAGAACTTGATAAATTCTTAATATAGGAAGTCAATTTTCATTCAAGCCTTCTCTCTTTTTCAATAAATTTGTGAACAGGATAAATACAAAGTTCGTGCGACCAAAGTAAAATTAATAGAATCAGTAACTCCATAACACACTGCATTATGTTGCTCCATGCCATACCTTGACTGAAGAAAAATAAAAGAAAAGAAAGAAAAAAGCAGGCCCTTGGTTTCCACCCACACAATTAAAAAAAAACAACATACCCAGTATATTCCCATCCCAACTGGTTGGGGTCTGGGGGGTCAGTTGTACGTAGACCTTACCCTTGTAATTATACAAGGAGGCTGTTTCCGTAGCGACCCAAGGTGCATTGCGTCATTTGATATATTTTTTTTCTAGAAATTTCACTAATAGAAGAAGCACTAGAATTTAATTGAGCCATTTTGATCTAGTCCATTATTAGCACTATGCCAGGAGAATTGTCAACAATGACTCTTCCAGCTCCATTTCCACCCCCACAATAAAAATTTAAAACAGGTTGCATGCGACATATCCACTATGTTATGCATTTAATCTTTCCGTTCCTTTGCATTAAGTTGATCAAACAGGAAGTGCACAAATGAATGAGAAAAAGGAAGTTAAAATAAAAATAGATTGTTGTTTTAACATAAAACATAAATGACGAAAAAGATATGAGCAGCTACCTGGTAACAGTTCCCGTGCCTTCGACATCCATCTTTCTGAACAGTGCAGAAGAGAAGAATGACGGTAGCTTGCAGATTTCTTTTGTTACCAGTTTGAATTCTGAACATCCATTGACGTGCAAAGCATTCAACACAGGAAACAGTTTATATCATAAAGCAAGTGCGGAAGGCACAGTAGACGAAAGATGGAGTTTAATATTATATCTATGTTGTAGAAGTCTGATGCACACTTAATTAACAGATCATAAGAAAACTATGAAAATATAGAACACGACACAAAGAAAATCCCACCATGCATTTGCAGTCCATCAACATGACCGTAGAAAAACTCATTGATTCTGAACAAACAACGTTCTTTCAATTCATTTGGAGGTGGCCGGCCATTAAGGAAGTAGAACTGCATTTGATCCATGTTTATATAGATATCAGTTAATAATATTACAAGAAAAAAAAAAAGAAGCAAATAAATGGGAGAAAAATTCCAATGAAATATCAAAAGTCAACAAGATGCACCTGAGGTATAAGCTCCTTCACTGGCTCACTCATTAATTTCAGTGGAGAACCTAGAGCAGATGGGCCTGGGCTAGCTCTATGCTTCGTGATGCGAGGTGAACCCGATGAACTTCTAGGTGAAAGTGGTGGAGTGCTGCCAGCCGGAAACATTGAAGGCAATGAATTGCTTGCTGTAACATTTCCGCTGGATGATGTCCCGGAAAAACTTAACGCACCAGCTCCTTTAGCATTATTGAGCAAGGATTTCACCTGCAATTCACATGTAATTTGGTGAATAGAGTCACAAAGTAATGTTAATTTACGATATGGCTTTCAAAAACTACCGGTAAGCTTGCATCTATTTTCAATTTGTACATCGTAGGATCAGACTATAGCATTAAATTAAACTGCAGGTTTCGCAGTGTTCCATATTTCACTGAGTGCCCGTAACGACATCATTTGACTAATTAGAAAACCTGCAACTTAAAGCTAGATTATAGTTCTTTTCAACTTTTCAATACTTTGCTGAAGGGAACCTAGACTACAATATGAGTCCATATGTTTCAAGATACAGATCTTGAGATACAAGATAAGTATTAACCAGCCAAAGTATACAACATTGGATAACAAAATATAAGAATATGAAAAAATATATACAAATAAAAACATTTTGGTAACTTATAGAACAATAGGCAAAAGTCCTACGAGTAGTTATTTTGGAAGTATAATGTCAACCAATGAAAATGATAAGATGTTGTCAACATACTAGAAAGTTGCAGACGTTGTTAGCATGAGCACTATATCTTTTTTTAGTTGAGTTAACTTCTAGAGAAGATACAAATGGGAGATTAGAAATTCAACTGCAATAGGTCAAGTCTCTACCTAAAGTATTTATTCACACTATGAAACCTCCATCCTCATAACTTAGTCTAACACTTGTTATAGAAGTAGGCAGAGACTTCCGAGTTCTGACAACACGAGAATACTCAGTGTAGATATTATACTTTTTCAGGTTTTTTCACACTATGGCTAAATGAATTTCCTGTTACCAGGTTTTTAATTTTTCTGATTTCATAAGTTTGCACCATAGACAAATTCCAGTTCTTTCATAAAAGAGGAAATCATAAAGGACTCAAGAAGAAATTTTCAAAACAGGCATCTTCAAAACAGCAAGTATATAAGTTCGATCAAAAGCCAAGTCTCTCTAGAGCTCTTCACTCATATAACGAAAAATAATATAATCATCCATAGGGTTCACTTGTATTTCTAAAAAGCAAATCCCAGCTCTACGGAGGTCTCTTTTAGGAGAACACATAAAAAAATAAGTTTTCATCTTCATATTGGTTTTTAGAAGACGAAAACAAAAATCCTTGAATGGGTTTCAAAGTGAAAAAAAATAATAATAAAAAAATAAAAATAAAAACAACAACAAACAAACAAACAACCAAACAAATTATGGCTACAATTAACACCTGGTGGATGGTGAATGAAAACTGGGCTGTATTTCACCATTTAACGCCATAACATTATTATCATTAAGATTATTTGACAAAACTCCCATTATATTGCCAAAAAAAACTAGATTGACATAATTTTGGAGACCCTATATTTATACTAAATAAATTACATAATTATAGAAGATAGTAATAACCAAAGAAAGAAAATAAAGATTTTCAAAAGGCTGTCGATCCAAATACCAAGATCACCCCAAATCTGTAGATTTATTCTTCTTTCCTCAGTTGCTTAATTATTATTTATTCTTCAATATTGCTCTCCACAATTTAAGTCGTGTTTCACACAATCTCTGTCAAGCAACATGCAGATATAGTAAGACAAAGATTCACCTGCATAATGTCGGCCAATTCGAGATGGAAACAAGTTGAAGAAACAATACTCAATCTAAAAGAGAGATGTTATGTTTCACTTTGTAGTGTATGTTCAAAAGCCACAAGAAAATGTCTCAACATTACTAGTAGTCTCTTGCCACTGGCCAACGGATAAATGATCGGCTTAACATTACAAATAGTACAGAATCGACACCAACCACAATCATTTAGGGCTCAATAGACTTTACAAACCATACCAAAATGTTCATGAAGAAGACAGGCCCACAAATTCAATGGATATTACACCCTAGGGTAAATTAGACTATACACCGGCCAAGCCAATCATCATTTTGAAGAACACCCAATAAGTTATATCCTTAGTTCCCTTTTGACACACCTACCAAGTGAAGCTCTCACAAAAATCTTGTCTCATCATAATATTATGAAAGGACTCAACAATGAATCACAATCACCCATTTCTAATCTCAAAAATGGAGTATTTACACCATCCAGAATTGTTAGAGCAAAAAAACGTCCGAATTAGTTTCCATTTCATAGAAATCCTCTATTACGTATCAAACCTAGCGAAATCAATAAATGTAGCAACATGTCACACCAATCATGAATAACCATATAGAGCAATGTAAAATAATCTAATATAGAAAAAATATTTAACGTTTACCAGCGAATTGGTTTCGGGAAGAGATAGCCACTGATCAAAGAGTCTCTCCGCCACATAAGGGTTGGCTTTGACTGCTAAAGAAGACACCTCCGGAAGCTGCAATAGTTCCGCATCTAGCCTCCCCACATCACCGTTGATATCCAAATCCATACCCTCAAAGCTCCTCAAATTGTGATATTACTTACAACAACCTTCAGATCTTCTAAAGCTACCATAAAATCACCACCAACGACGAGCATGAAATGGAGGAGAGATGTCTTTGAATCAGGGCCACGAAGCATCACAGATTAAAGATGTGTACAAATGAATCATGAAAAAAAATAAAAAAAAAATAAAAAAAAAAAAAACTCAGCAGCTTTTCAATCTGAGATCCGAAGAACGGAATTAACAGAGAGGCTGCAAACCCTCGGAGAGCACAAGTGCGCGAGCACCGGAAAGATACGAAGGAGAACGGAAGAATTAATATTACACTTGGTACTATTCAATTAAGATTTTAAAATCTTATGTTGCCATAGTAAACTTATCAAAAAATTTCAACTATATAAATATAAAAATATTTGACATTTACTTGAAATAAAAGTAGAAATCCCGTCTAAATAATTTATTTTTACTTTTTATAGTAATTTTTTTAAAAAAGTTTAAAAAGTGGCGGATGGTTTTGAAATTTGAATGTGAATTTTCAAAATAAAATTTCAAATCAACAATTGCGGCTTGGTCTGAGATTTTGTTATTTTCTTACAATATTTGGTCCAATTTGGTCGATTGCTTCTATATTTTTTGCAAGGAAAGTAATTGCATATCCAATACTATATATAATTATTGTACATATCCAACTAAACTGAATATTGATCCTATTACTACTGAAAAGTAACAAAATAAATTGATGTTATTAATTCTCTCTCGCAATCTCTCCCAAAATCAGAGCCAACCTAATCCTCCCTAAATCAAATCCAAACCATTTCTTCAATTAGGGATCGACGTGAGGAGATGGGCATGGTGGAGCTCCCATCGGGTCTTCTCCATGTTCGATGAACCGTGATGGCAGCGTCAACGGGGGAAGAGCTCTCTGGATCTGAGTGTAGGAGGAGAAGCTGCGGGTAATGATCGAAAAGATTGACGCCGACGTGGACGCCTAGGTGAATGCCGAGGAGCGACATTGGAAGACGGCGGAGGCGACGAGTGCGATGACGGTGAAGAAGACGTGTGGGAGGCGTTTAGGGTTTTCGACGGGAAGGGCTGGTTCATCACGGAGGATGAGCCGGGGTTGGTGCTGGCGGCGCTCGGGCTGAAGTAGGTAAAGACATCGGAGGAGTACCCGAGTATGATCGTCAAGGTCGACTTAAGTGGCGACGGGAGGGTCAACTTCGGCGACTTCCGGCATATGATGAAGTGCGGCCGCTTCGTCAAGGTAAATTTATTGTTTTTTTTTTATTTTTATTTTTTGTTTTTTCATGTGCAAATTGCAATTGCCAATTAGTTGGTAGTTAATTGATTTTGATTCTTGCCTCTTAATCGGGCTGATAAATAATTTATACTTTTTATCTGCAACTTGATGTCCTCCGCCAGAGGGGTTTTGGAGAGGACTAAGGGTGGTGGCTGGACCCGTGACCCACTACAGTGGGAGCTCCATCCTAGAGGATGTAACATGCGGGATGCCGATGATTGGGTGGTCGATCTACAAGGAGCATAGGATGAACAGGGTGTTCATGGTGGAGGAGATGGGGGTGGCGAACTGTACATATCTCCCGTCATGAGCCCGTTCGTTTTGCTCCTCCTTTATTTTACTTTGTGTTTAACGATAATATTTTCTAAGTCAATTGCTTGACTTTATTCACAAAACACTTTTCAAACCGTACATGTTTACCTCAGGTGTAGCAAACTTGCAAGCATACATGTTTACCTCAGATGTACCATACTATGACCTTGCGTGCGCTGAGATAGACAGGTGGGTGTATGCGGTCTAGACATGCGGGGCACAAGGAGGTACGTTGAAGTCTGAGCATGCTTATAGTGAGTTACATTGTGTTCTTGATTGTGATTAGTTGGCTTCTCAATAGAACAGTGAGTAAGAACTTAGACCATATGTGATCAAACTAGATAATGTGATTTGTGTGTGGTACACCATAGAAGAATTTCTTCCTATTTATGTGTCATATCTTTTTGTGGATTCTGTTAATTGTCTTATTGGCCATTTTAAGTAAGATTGTTAAGAGGAACCGGGAGGAAAGATACGTTTTATGTGACACGAGAGATGTCTTATTGCTAAAAGTTTAGATGAAAGGGTTGTATAACAATAAAGGCAGAATATTAAGTGAACTTTTGGTTTTTTTTTTTTTTTTT